TGATATCCAGGTTGGTTGTACTAGGTGAGTGTACAGAGAGGAAGAAAAAAATTAGGCAGACTGGCCATCTGTTTGCTGGTATTCATTCACTGTCTATGAGAGATCATATAAGCAAAGATGAAGCTGACAGAGGAGACTAATAACATCCTTTTATTAGTATATCTCTGCATTATTTAACCTTTCTCTAATGCATGATGTGAGAAGTGCTTCAGTAATATAAAAAGGATAAAAATTAATGGACACTGTAGCCTGGACACAAATTAAAAATGCAATCAAAAGATGGTGGTATTTCTGGTAAATGACTCTGTGGACCAGATTTTCCCTTCGCCAAAAGAAACATTTGAAAGGAGGGATACAGTTGTGTTGATGAATTTGCAAGCTAGATTAGTACAATCTGCAATTTTTGTTGTAAATAAATGGCACTGTTTTCATTGGCAGTTCCCATTTGCACATTGTTGAAAAAAATATTTATTTGCAAAAACTTTTGAAAACATTTTTCAAAAAGATAATCTGAACCATACTCAGCAAATTGCTAATGCCAAGACAACCACATGGTCACCATTTTGTCTGTAATAATCCCCCAATGATCTCCTGTAAAACAAATAAAGAAAACATGGTTTACTATCACTGGTAATGGTATGTTTTCATTTAAAACATATCCCAGTTACAATTATAAATAATTTACTTACTAGTTAGCCAATTTATTTATGTATATTATTTGAATGTGATAAACATAGAAATAATGTTCAATACGTTAGAGCTTGAGTTATCAAGATATTTTGACACTGTCTATTGTACTCACTAAACCTAACTAAGCTTCTCTGGTGTCTTCTCAGCAAAACAAAATCAAAAAAATCTTTATTTAATTTTTGTAGTGCATATTGGTGTATAGAAGACATTAATACCAGAAATAAATAACCTTATCACACCAAAATGTTGTTTTCATTTGATTAGACACTCAACATTTCACTTTACAGTGTCTTCAGGAGTGTTCACTAAAACACAAACCAAAACTAATAGTATACAAAGCTTCAAAGATTCCTTTGAGCTTTGCAAAAATTAAAATTAAATATTACAAAATAAAAAAAATATCAATTATAAAATACGTGTGAGTTAAAATACAGTCAGAGTTATTATTCTTACTGGAATTTTTAAATTTGTCAACATATAAAAATTTCAGCCTCATATACATTAAAAGTGGAGAAAAATTTCATTTGATGAAAGTGTTGGTGAAAAAATATGAAAAGCCAGAGGAAATCCTGAAATGATGAAGTTTTTTATCTTAAAACACTTTTTTCTACTTTGCTACTGTGGCTAGCACTTTTGTCATTAACTTTCATAGTAACTGGCAAAAATTTACTGCTGCCCTCCTCCAAAAAAAGTAGTTTTAAGTCCTATGTATATATAATTTTTTAGAAAAGGAGACCAAAACTATACACAATATTCCAAATGTGAACAAACTAGTGATTTACTTCTTCTGACTTGTATATATCTATATACAATATATGTATAAATAGACTTTACAAACTATTAGCTTTACTATGAGCAATAGGGCATTGACTTGATGGTTTATGTGATTCATCCACCACTATGCTAAGATCTTTACCTTTGGTCAAGCTACTGAGTGGATTTCCATTTATATTAAATGTGATTCAAATTATTATAACCCATGTGCATTACATTGCACTTACTATGATAAAAGGTTAAATGTGAAATATTTGTTCAACTTACCAATTGATCCAAGTCATTCTTTATTACTACAAAATCCTCCTTATAGATAGAAATATCCAAGATATTAATGTCATCAGTAAACTATGAATGTACTAGTTATGCCTGCATAAGTATCACAAATGTAAAGAAGAAAACACAGCCCAGTTAGAATCAGCCCACTTGGCTTGAATAGACCCCAATAACCCTCAGGAAGTTATATTCTTTAGTCTCGCACAGGGTGAAAGAAGATTGCTTAATCTTCAAACACCCTTGATGATTAATTATTTCTTTTGAATTAATTACTTTTACAACAAAATAACTGCCAGGCACAACACAAGAAAACACAAATGCCCAAGCTCTAAAGTACTCCACTAGTAATTAGGATCCAGTTTCACTGAACTCCATTAACCCTATGAAACAGGCTTGGAAAATGTGGGTAACTTTGTAATCACCATGCAACCATGAAACTATATATACTATAACTCTGAATGTACTAAGACTAAGTATATCTTCACAAAATTTGGCAAGCATTTGATAAAAAAGTAAAATTTTGTTGTACATAAATGATATTTTAATGTCTGTTTACTAAAGATTTGTCTGTGAATTTACAAAGCCTTTACTAGGTCAGCTGAGTGAAAGGTGATACCCATGCTATGAAAAAAACAACTTATTTTCAACTTTCAAATTTCATTAGCATAACCTCTAGAAACTCCTAAATTAATATCAAAAGTATTTTTCACTAAAAATTTGTCCTTTACTTCTTACATTCTCTACCCTAACACTAACTGTAGCAAAATAATCAATTTAAAGCAAAATTAAAAGTTTAAAAATATGTTACAAAATCAAAAAACTAGAATGCCTGCAGACTGTAACAGGCAATTACAATTATTTATCCTAACAGTCTCAGTTTCTAACCTTTCACATCTTTCTTTTAGTTTTATTTATTTACAGTATATTTTAGACCCTCACACAGTATGGGAAAAACAATACTTCACAGCAGGATAGTACAGTATAAACAAATGGTCAGGATACAATTACATGATCACACAGAACGTGCTTTCCTGAGCTCCCTTTTGAATGATCACTAGTAATTTTTTTTAGTTCCTTTCATTTAAATTTGTTATCTAATCTAATACTATTCTAACTTTTACAATTAACTTTTGTTAAAAATATTTAATAATAAATAAGCTTTCCTTTTGAGTGATCACTAGTAATTTTGTTTAAGTTTCTTTTCATTTGAATTTATCTAATCTATTACTTTTCTAACTTTTACAATTAACTTTTGTTAAAAATATTTAATAATAAAAAAAATAATAATAAATTTAGCACTTACTTTTGCCTTGAGGCCATTTGTACTACTTTTCTGGCTATGTTGGTTATTCAATATTTATATATATATATATATAT